GGCAGTGCAGAGTTCAGTGTAGAACTGGTCAAAAACATTTTAATAGCATTTAACTTGATGCTGAAAATGCTGATTTATCACACTCCAGTGTGAACAGGCATGTCTAAGGGCAGGGTGCACTACATTCTCAGATGTGAATTTTTGTTAACGTCATTTAAGTGATTAAATGTCTTCAAAGCGAAAGGCTTTTAAAAAAAAATTCATTTGAAACTGCATTAATTTATGCTAAAAATTACAGCTTGAGAAAGGTCAAAATAAAAATGAAGTCTTTCGGGATTTACTGAAATAAGACATTTTGATTAACCTGTATTTTTGTACAATTTTCACTTGTATTTTACCACAGCATGTGGGAAAGAACTCACCAGAACAGAGTTCCTGCTTTTCTCTTACCTCTAAGACTAGGGGCCTGGCCTCATTAATCACACAGGGTAAAAAGCATTGTCCAAAATTCAGAATTAAAGTTTTCCATGCATAAACCTTGTGTCATTTTTATTACAGCATACCAGCCTAGAATCTGTGTTTAAAACACTGACTGCTCAAAGGAATCTAAATCTCCTTAGCTGAAGGTAGTAAAATCAGGTCAAGAATTTACTATTCAACAATCTCCATTAGCATTTCTGTTCAGAGAAAATGTAGTTCAACTTTCTCTAAAGAGAAAGTAAAGCCAGGCCATCTAGCATAAGTTTGGAAAGTATAATGATTTGCTTGTGTATGAAAGTCCATTAGGTAACGAGTTTTATTTCCTCATAAAGATATTTCAGTGACTCTGCATCATGATTTTTTCACAGCGCACAGTATTTTTGCAAAGTCCAGAGATGGGACTGTATCTCTAGACACATAGCACATGCTTGATTTCAGCTAGGCAGCTTGGCCACCGTTATCAAAGTAATCACAACAGCAGACAGAGAAAATGATCTGAGCTTTTATCCTGTTTTCAGGATAAAAATCTGGTCAAAGTTACCAGTGACACATCTGCATGAGCAGAGGTCACAACTAACCTTAAGCATCCAGCTAAGCTCTGCTGGAGAACTAAGCCATCACTTGGATCCACCATAGAGTTAATTTGTCACACTGGTACCTAGGGACATCTCTAATTTATTTCTCTGGGCAGGACCTCCTAAACAGTAAGTTTCTTCAAGCTATCTCAATTGGGTAAGTCAGTTGTTGGAGGGGTAGGAGGGGTATTTGTTTGTGGGGGTTTGTTTTTCAAATCTCTGAGTTAGCAGCTCTAAGAATTCATCAACTGGTGCAGATTCCCTTTGAGGTATATCACAGTGCTATTGAGAATAAAATAGTATGGCCAGTTGATGTTTGCCATAAAAGAGAAAAAGTTTTGCTTTCAGTTGTCAAAATGACAACATATATTTTATTTAATTTGTTTGGATTCTTAATGGTGGAAGCAGAATTTAATTTGCACTAGAATATCCTTTAAAATAAATGCTTGATCTCTTCCCACTCACCATTACAGCTGATGGGTACAAAATAAAATGAACAGCAATTCATTCACCTTATCACTGTAGCACCAGAAGAAGAGACATCCTTAGTGCAATGATTAATAACTTGCTATAGAAAGATGCATCATAAACTGCTTGTATTAGGTCAAATCATAAACTAGGCTTTTAATGTTTATATGATCCCTTTCTAAATAATTAAATGTGTCTGTAGCTCCCACTAGGACGGGAACTTGCATGATGCTTGGAAACCATGCAGTCTCTTACAGGGTCATAACTTGGGATCGCCACTTAAAGGGATCTCTATCATCTTCTACATTAAAGCATTCCTTGAATTTCTCTTACTATTGGGACATCTGTCTGTACTACAGGTCAGACAGACCATCTGATGACCAGGAGCAGCAAAGATGAATGTGATGCACCCTGAGTTTAGGGTGTCTTCTTCAGGCACAGACACATCCACAGCTTTGTTGCAGGAGAAAGTACTGTTGTTTTTCTTTATCTCTGCCTCCAGGTTGGGAAAAGAACAGCTGAACCACAGCTGAAATGAAAACGGGGCTATCTACGTGGATACAAGGAGGCAGAGCAGCGGTGTGGTGCTTGCCTGAATACAGCTAACAAGCCAAGTTGCCCATGCTTGTGAAGGGCACCTCATCCTCATGGGAGTCAGACATGACTTGACTTTGTAAATTCCTGGCCAAAATCAGCTTTTAGGTCCACTCAGACAATTCCCATCAGCTTCAGTAGCTTGTTGGTGAACACTAAGAGAGTAGCACCATTTGGCCATAAAAGAATTCAGTCCTGTATTTATCCATCTTGTGGTGAAACTGCCATTTTTGAAAAATATAGTACAAGATGACATTATATAAGTATCCATCTATTTCCTTACTATCACAAGCTGCAATCATGTCCATCTCCCTTTTATTTCCCACAACAGCTGGTGATTTTTCTTAACCAAACCAGAATCTCCCTAGCTTGGCAAACAACGTTGGCTTCACTGCAAAGCTACCTCATTAGGACAATGTCACAGCTCTAACCAATATGTAGCTTACACAAAAAATAATATGAATTAAAAAAGAGCTGCAGAACCCTAAATATTTCAACAGATGTGGTAGCCCCAGTCAGTTCATGCATTGCTTACTCAATACAGAAAATCACTTAAGTTAATTATTTAAATATTCGTATCTATGGAATTTAGAAAAGGGAAAAGCCAATAGTGGAATACCCAAGATGATGATCTTCTAATAAACCATAGATTTAAAGGGAATTAGCTGGGTTATGAAACAGTAACCTCCCAAATCAGCTCATTAGTTTCACTGACTTTCCCCATATCACTTTATTAAAACAATTTAAGTGAGGGTTCATTAGATGCAATGTAATCTAATTCAGACACTCCAAGCCTAATCCCTTTTCTTTTAGCAGTAACATGCTAATAGTTTGCAAAAAAGTTTAAAGGATTATTGTTACAGCTATTTTAAATAGGGACTTTTTTCAGCCAAACACGTGCCACCACTTCCCCACCATTTTATTATTTTTTATTATATTATTTCTTGTTCTTTACTCATTCATTCATTTATTCCTTCCCTTTTCTGTCTTTCATTGCTCCACACAAGCAGAGTCACACATGGGCAACAGCATCCCTCTGTGCGGGTGCAGGGGAATATGCCAAATTACCCCATGTGTGTCGGTGTATCAGGCCTTGGGAAAGGAATGATTTTTTGCAACTTACTTTGAGATTCCAGACTTTAAAAAAAAAAAAAAATCCTTTGTAAATTCACCATGATTTTATAAATATCCTAGAGGGAAGGGAGAAGGTTCCTGTGCATTTTCACGCTGCTAGTTTCTGACAGCTTTGAAAGATGCACAGGAGGGAATCAAGCGTAGGACTTGTAAATTAGGAGGCAGACACTGTATATTACTTACCGTGCTAGATCCAGGCTGAAATCACAGAGTAACAGATCCATACTATGGAGATACAGTTTATTTCAGAATGAACTCACTCATACTCCTGTACTTTCATAAAGCCTTTTTCAAACAGTAGGGTTAATTATTCTTCATAGGGAAAAAAAAAACCCAAACAAAAAACCAACCAACCAACCAAACAAAAAGCCACCAAAGAATAAGAGCTGGTTTCTAGATCTAGGTTCCTGCAGACTTTAACAGGTTCCCTACCCCTGAAAACCAGTCCTTGCTCACTTCAAATCCTTGTCTCTTCAAGCAAGTACCATTTTATAATCCTATTAAAACCTTTGCCTCTGTTTACCGGGAGCCCTAATCGTACTCAGCAAGTTCTTCTTGTCTAAGGAAGAGGGACAGCTTTCAGATTTCTTAGGAGGCTTATTCATCAGCTATGCCAGAGTTTTGCCAGAGCGTTCAATCTATTCTGGGAGCAGCCATGTGGAAAAAGTTTCAAACAGCTCAAAGCCCTGCACGATGATAAAGGAAAGCTCACACAATCCTGGTAATAGCCTGACCCTCTTAAGGAAAATTGGATGATTTGTGGTAGCAGTTTTTCTGTCCCCTATGTGAATTCTGAACCTTAAAGTATAAGCAGTGTATTCATACAGTCCCATTACAAAACCTATCCCTCTTGTGATGCTGGAATAATAAATACGCACCCATATGTGAAAATAAACTCTTGCTGCAATGACCTTCTTCCTCAGCCCACTGGTGTGAAGGAGTTTGTAGCCATTTTAGAAAAAAAGAGTCAGATAAAGAATGGACTAATTTGATGCTCAGTGTTTCACTATGAGCAGAATATATGCTTTAATGAGCTCATTACATGCACCAGGGACGTGTTACTGTGAAGCAGGGAATAAAGAGTAAGGGGAAAATAATTAAACAGGCAGCTTTATAATGAGGAAACTGTATTAATACAACATTAAGTGGCCTAATTTTCAAGTGCTAAGCAAAGACATGTTCCTTGGACTTCAGAAGGACTTGATGGCAGGCACCACCATGAAAACAAGGGCACAGGATCACAAGTATCAAACCTCCTATAGGTCCAAAGCACAGGGTGGACTGATGCTGTCCCCACTTTATCCCACTGATCTATCCAACAGGATCAGATACCCATACCCTATAATTCTTTTTGTATAAAGAGGACCCTTAAAGTTTTAAAATACCACAGCATTCATCATGTGTGGTAGGTAGAACATTACAACTGACTTCTAACAGCCTAGCCTTAGTTTTCTGTTGGTGCTGCATCTGCTAGGCCACAAGCATACAACATCATCTACGTGCAACGAGCACCTGAAGACTTAGTGTAGCTGATTGCACAAGCAGAGCTATTGGGAAAGGGGAAAATCTGTCTCATTGGCTTCAGACACTGACAGAATGAACCAATAAACCATATTTCTGACTCTAACAGTTCTCTCAAGGACAGTAAGGCCAGGAACACTCATTTACTTGGCCTGCCAGTTCCAGACAGTGTTATAATATCAACTACTTCAGCATAACGCCCTACCAGTGAGACAGCAATTCTGTTGGGCCACAGGCTCCCCATCTTTCTTTGCAAATAGACATGGCACAAAGTTTCTTGTTACTCACCCTCATGCCTAATTCAATATTTTCTCCCCCATAGACTTCCATACCAGGATCAAGCAATCCAATCTCACCAAAATACTCTCGGTCCACCACAAACGAGCATCCAATCATGGCTGGTGTCCTGCACAGAGAGATTAAAGCAAAACATTAAGTCATTTATTAGCTACCACAAAACCTACCTCATAGCAAATTTACAGTTCCTAGTCTTCATGTTTACATTTTAAATTTATCTATTAGCATGCAGTCACATTGCACTTCATCCCTCAATGGACAGAGGACCTTGTGGAACCAGAGCCACCCAAATAACTAGCACACTGTCAAACACACTTGGACCAGCTGACTGTGAGACAGACATAGGATGTGAAGTCAAGTACCCCATGCATATAAGTGAAGCATCAGGCTGTTAGCTTTTGTTTTATAGACACAACCTCTGTGATAGAGCTGAAGTTCACCACCATAAAGAGTAACACAAGAGCTAGACAACTTGTTTGAAGATTAATACACAAAAAAATCCATAAGCTTTGTCAGAAGTGAGGAATCCCCTAACCCACATATTAGAAGTAAGGGCATGTTGAGAGCCATTGGTCAATCACTGTTTGAAGTTTGGCAAGGGATTTCCTGGAGTCAACTCTAGCAGATAAATTTCAGCCTTGGTGAAGCTGTTCCATGATTAAGATTTCTGTGTTTGCTGAGGTCAGTCTTTAGAAAAGGAAAAATTTTCAGATGAAGAGACTCTGCCCTCAGATCTACCACTGACCAACTGGGGTGATTTCAGATAAATCATTTCACTTCTCTGAAGATCAATTTCTTTATGTGCAAAACTGGTTCTGCTCTCCTTTAGAAAGCATTCTGAAACCTGTCACTGAGCAGCACTACCTGACAACAGATTTTTGAGATCATTTACCATTTGAACACAGGCGTTATTTTAATGCGATACAAGGTAGTGACATTTGATAGTTTCATTTGTCCACACGTTTTCTCAATCTCTGCACTGGTCACAACACCTCCCTCTCTAAAATTCAACGTAGGAGAGCTAGGTTTTGGTACTATAGTCCACAGTTTAAAAATGTAAACTTGACTAAAGTGGAAAACCAGGAAGAGCCTGCAGCTCCGTGTTTCAATTCAGCTGCAGGATGCAAAGCACCTACTTTGATCATGGGTAGGCATCTTACAGTCTGATCTACAGGATGTGCCTTGGCCCTGGGGACAGAGCCCCCGCTTTTAGTGGGATACTGATAGACTGCTGAATCAAGGAAACTGCAAAATCTTTTGAGAAACTGAACACTTCTGGAGCTGACCTAGAAGAATGAGCTGTGCTCCCTCTTCCATTGAAAGGGAGGCAATTTTGAACCATCTGTCAGATCCTACATAATTCCTAACGGTGCTATTGTAAAAAGACATCAGGAAAATTCTAGTTTATGCCAATTTTCTATTTTCTAATAGAATAGAGAATGCTCTGTCTGTGGCCCAGGCTTATATATATACAACACAAAAATACCCTACAGAAACAAAGAAGATGGAAAAGGTCTAAAACCTATTTTAGGAAGTGTCCTTTGTAATGCACTAATGTTATACTGTCACTATTAAGTCCCACTTGTCCCAGATACTTGCACATTTCTTCAATTTGTACAGAAAGCTCTTCACAAGATATTTTCCCATGACATCTGAGAAAGATATTCATGAGGCAGTTTCATATACATGTGAAAAACTGCCCTGGCTGGGAAAATAAACACATTTTTTTTCCCATGTATTGGTAGATCCCCCTGGTAGCAGCAGGTGTCTGCTGGAACAGGGTTATCACATCAGGTGCTTTTTCTCATCAGCAGTTCAGTATTTCTACAGCAGGAGGTTGAAAAAGCTTCAAACAAATGGCCGAGATACGGTTAGATAAAACAATTCTTTGCTCCTGGGCCTAATGCATATTCTGACATCGCAGAACACAGTCCGACCTGTGGCAGGAACTATGTGGTACCCTTGAAAAGGTTCATTTGCTCAAGCGTTGCTATTATGTCTCTGTAATGGACTCTGCTGTAGCACTCACACTACTTGTCCTGCTTCAGCATCTCTCCCTTGTACTTCTTCTCAGTTTGAAAGCCACTGCAGCCTCTCAGATCATTACAAGCCTATACCACAGTCAGTGCACACTATCCCTATCATGTTTTCTCTGCATAATTGAAAAAGGCAGCTGTTGATAGAAACACATTTGATCGGCACTGTTTCTGACAAAGAAGTTGCAATAGCTTCATTAACTCTCATATTCCACCCTTACAGAGTGAGATGCGTTCCCTGGATCATGAGCTGGAGGGACAAGGTTCAATGGTGTTTACGAAGGCAAACATCTGGCTTTCACAGATGACTTTGAACTGAAGTGGGGCTCTAGCCAGACACCTGCACCCATTCAGTAAAAAAAGGGCTGGAGAAAGCTGAGGCCAGATGTCACAAACCCTACAAAGAAACTGCAGCCTGGTCATCACCAGCAGCCTCACTGCTTAGACCTCTCCCACACCGCACAGTACCTCTTTTGTGTGTGCAAGAAATTCCAGTACTTCTCTGTTTGCTGCTGTTATTTGTGAACACCTTCTGTTGAATCAGTCTCTAATTAGAAGTGGTCTCAGAGCTCTGTGAAAACCACACATGGTCCTGGGCACTCCTGGCTGGACACATCCATCTTCTGTTGATGCATCTACTTATATACCAGGACCTTTGCAAGATGGATGGCATTTATAAATTCAAGTTATTTGGTAAAAAACATCTTCCTATTTATAGTTCCTAGAGCCATGCCTGAAGAAAGACTTGTCTGAAAAGGCTGAGAGCTCTCCTGTACACAGGACAGGACATATCCTTTCTACATCTCACTGTCACATCCTGTATCACTGAAAACTGTATTTTAGGTTACCAAGGAATAAATTTCATCTAGAAACTGAAATAAAAGAAGGACATGACCAAGAAAAGGGAATTCAGTAGCTCTGAAATTAAATAAGCCTGTGAGGGAATGTTTAGCTATTTCCTAAGTGTTAACCATGATAAAAAAGGCAAGGAAGTATTGGGAAGAAGCACAAGCCACTTTCTTAATTTTACTTTTTATGTATATAACACTAAACACAGGTTTCACTGGATGAAGGTTAGAGCATTATTGCTTTGCAAAACTGAGCTGGTAGTTTGGGCTTAGACTCATTCTCTTTCCAGCCCCACTCAAAAATCCTCTGGAGGCAGCTCCTTACAGGAGTAGGATGCTCCCATGAGAACATTTCCCCTTCCTTCCTAATGAAGAACGGTACCTCTAGGCTTTGCAGATGGCTCTCAGGCACTGGAATTTCTCTCTCTGGGGGATGGATTTTTGCAGCTGTTTGCTTCTGTCCATTAAAACACTGACTTGTTAATTGAATGGGGGTGGGAAATACATTTTAGATGCAACTACAGAACCATCACTCATAGACAAATGGCACTAAGGACTGCTTTTGCAACTCCTTCTCTCTTCTAGGTTTTATTTCTTCTCATTAGATATCTTCAAATACAAACTCCACAAACCTTCATGGCTTATTAAGAAAAAAAGTTTTCATGAACAAGCAACAGTATCAGTACAATGGCAGAAGGAACCACTTCTGGCTTTTCAG